TGGACTCTAGCCTTATGTAACCATCAGACTAAGAGAAGAAAAACTTTGAATTTCAAACCATGTTGAAGGCAACAGGAAACCACTCCACTATCTTTCCCAAGAAAACATGGCATTTCACAGATAATAAAGAAAGGCAATCTCTCCATAGATTCCCTGTGTCCTGAAGAGACGACATTTTTTACTTAAATAAAGAAATGACAACTTTGTTAATTCTTAATTTTTTTAATGATACTTTTAGTTGTCAACAATAGAAGTTGCGTCCCTTATTAGCAACAGGAGTTATGGCCCTTTTTTCGTAACTCCGTAATGCGGCCATACTGAATTTGGAGATGTCTCTCATTTTAGTGTTAGTCACAGCTATAAAAGATTACCTGAAACAGAAACAAGCTATTTGTGAACCTTTTCAAGTCATGCATATATTAACCAATTACACAATTTACTTTATATCTAATATATTTTCTGTATGTTCATTGAAAATAAAAGAAGCTAGATTCAAGGAAATAAATAGTTTCAATAGATTGACAGAGAAACAGATAGATTAGGTCATAAACAGCTGAGAGTTATTGGAAATAGACTGAGTGCTCTACGTTTTAGAAATCAGTCTGATCATGGCTTAGCCAAAAGAAATAATAATAATTTTATTTAATGTATATGACATTAATGTAGGTACCTCCAAAGAAAAGTGATATCTAAAGTTTAAAATGAAAAATATTTCTTGAAGCTTTTATCTGAATTTTTATTTCAAACTAATAGATTAAATTTAATATTTCCAATAAGTAAAATACATTGCTGTACTTCAAAACGAATTAAAATTGATTGGGATGAGTTTTTTTATTTGGTTTTCAATTTTTTTTTTTTTTTTTTTTTAATATCTAAAAATGTGGCTGATTTTAGTTGTTTTTACAATTCTTAAAGTTTAATTAATCTGATTTCAAACAAATATTACTCCCTATTAGAAGTATTTTTTCACACATAGTTGAGTGTTTTTATGAAGTATTGACAGGCGTAATGTTTGAGAAATTTAACTAATTTTTGCTATGGGAAACATGTCTGTAAAAATTATTTGAATATAATGTGTATATATATATATATATATATATATATATATATATATATATATATATATATATATATATAAAAACTACCAGTAATCATAAAAATTTAGGAAAATATTCCAAGTAATCGTATGTTTTATCAAATTTCAGGTACTTGACTTCAAATTTACAATAGTCACCACTCTTATTTTCTGATAATGTTGTGTATGGATATCTGTATTTACAAAAATTCGGCACATTTAAACATGTACAAAAAAACTCAAAATTCTTTTTAAAATATTGGGGGTTGCTGAATTGTAGTAAGTTTAATAACAATATCACCTGATACAAATTAATACAGAACTTTAAGATTTCAAACTTTATAAATTATTATAAAAATACTTCTAAAAATTCATTATTCATTAAAAAAATTTTTTTATTAAGACAATAGTGTTCATAAGATATCATATTCATAAAAGTAATTAAGTGCTTTTCTAATTAAATAATGTCTTAGTATTATTCCTTTTCTTTATTTTACAATTCAGACCAGATTTTCGGTAGCTGGGGATCCTTTTTTATAAAAAATAATTAATGATTTAAATTCTCCAAAGAGTTGTGCTTATAACTAATATGAACATTAAGCTGTACAAAATGAACTGTTTGAGATTTCATAAATAAGTCAAGAGGTGTAACAGATCTAAAAAAAAAAAAAAAAATATATGACTCATGTTAGTCTATGATGTCAGAGGTTGGTGGTGGTAGTATAACAGTAGGGAGTGAACCTTCCTACCAATAACCCATAGTTTTTCTTTATTTATCTTTTGTTACAAATAGTAACTGTGCAGCAGTGTGATAAAAATAACATCTGAGACATGAAAGTACATACAAAGTGTCATCAAATTCTTTTGTGTATTTTTCATGGGTGCTGGCATTTCAATTTTGATCAGATGCTCTGTAGTATAGACTAAGCTAAATAACACCCCCAACACAATATAATAAAAATACATAAGAAAACTGGTTATATTGTATGCTACTATGTCTGTGCTGGTTTAAAAATAACACTAAGTCCTAGTTAATTTATAACACAAATGTTAGTGACAAACTTTTCACAAGGTCTACAAAATGTATATATACAGTAGACCCTCAATTTAATGGGTTAATTGTGGGGAGGTTTATCTATTAAAGCTGTTGTGTCCGTTAATTTGAAGCACTTTTTTTGTGGCCTAAAAACACCCAGTATTGTACAAAATTATTGTAAATAAATGCAAATACAGTATATATGTATATGTATTTTAAATTTTAAGTTACTATATAGTAACTTATATACTGTATTTGCATTTATTTACAATATTTTTGTACTATACTGGGTTTTTTTACTATATAGTAACTTAAAATAAATTACACACACAAATAGAGAGGTACCATAGTGAAGGGCTTGACAAAAAACAATATAGTGCAGTGTAACCCGGATATAAGAGACCCGAATATAAGAGAAACCCGGATATAAGATAGATTTTCTCTGGTCCCAAATTAGAGCCTGTGTTAATGTATATAAATTAGACCAAACCCGGATATAAGAGAAACCCGGATATAAGAGACTTCTTCTCCGGTCCCGACAACTCTCTTATATCCGGGTTACACTGTATATTGTAATTGGCATAAAATGTTTGAGAGACGATGCATGTGTGTATACGACATTCACTCAAGTAAACAACATCGGCTATTCCTGAAACTATCAGTTTCTGTCTGTTGATTACACCAATAAACAACAACAGACAATTCTGGAACTAATGGAATTTGCTTGCTACATGTGGGCATTTTGAGTTCTAGCCTAACACTACCATTTCTGTGGATTTTATTCATTGAATCTGTAGTCCATTAGTTCCCGTACCATTAATTCAAGGTTTTACAGTAGGCAATATGAGTTTCAAAAAGACAAAGTACATTCACATCAGTGAAGTGTTGCTTAAAAACATTTTTTCAATTCCAAATAATATTTATCTCTATTCTTGCCTTTACTAAAGGTATTAGTGCAAAGTCAATGTTGATTATCTTGGTCAGGACTTGAATTTAGCTTGCTGATTGCATTTTTCATGCTGCTAACTGCTTGGCCACTGGCACCTTCCCTGTATTTTTATTTTTTTGAAAAAGTTTACATAAACATCTACAATCAAGTTGCTTCTGGTATACATTGTGTAACATAAAGCAATGTCATTTTTTAAAGTTTAACCAGAAATAGTACTTCTGACTTTAGTTTGAAATCTAGAGTAGATGGTGCTGACCTTTAAGATTAGCACCACCTACTTTAAATTTTGACCATTTGGCTGGTTATAAGACATGCAAGCAATCACTGATTTTATAGTAAAAATCAAGTAATTGACATTGCTTTCTTAATAAGGCATATTCTTTTCACTTCATTGTTTAAAATTGAAACTTAATTGTAAAACTTAAACCTGATTTTAATTAACTCTATTGCATTTTTTTTTTTTTTTAATTAATTTCAGTCTCTCTTTATTGAAATCTAAAGTTTGATGTAATAAAAATGTTAGATTGAAAATGAAATGATATTTTAGAAATTGCTTCATTTACATTTTGGATATGAAACTGAGCTTTTGAGAAAATAACCTGAGTAAAGTGGATATCCATTCTGTGAAAAGAGAAAATGGAACCTTGCTCACTGTGTTCTTCATGTTCAGGCAGTAAAGCACACTGGATTAAATGATGTTTTCCTCCACAAAGGTTGGGGGGGGTGCAGGTTTGATCCATGTCAGGGAACACATTTTATTACTAAGATTCATCAAATGTGCAAGGATGGAAGGCATAATACACACTGTTTAATAACTGTGTCTGTTTCAAATAAAAACTATCCACTATAATAATGTTTGAAGTAATAAAGAGGTTGGTATATATTTCTAAATTTTAATGCAATGCATTTTCTGGATGTGCGGGGGGAGGGGCATAATGGATAGTGGCTTAGAAGAGAAATCAGAGTTCAGAGTTTGAATTCCAACTGAGTTTGTTATATTTGCTTATGTGTAAATACCATTGAGAAAGGTATCCTCCTCTCTAGCTATGGGTAAATGTTGTGGTGTCCTCCCTCTAAAGAGCCTATGTTGAACTCTTCCGCCTACTATAAGATTAGTAGGAGAGAAAGCCTTGGGAGAACAGTCAAATTGATTGAATGCTGGGTCAACTTACACACACTCACTAGTCAGTTAATACTCTATATGATATATCTGTAACACTTGTTTTGTTATTTCTTTAACCATTTACTTGGTCACAACAGTAAAAAAATAGGACTTGCATCTCGAAAAATGATTCTCCAAAAAATTGTTAATGCAATATTCACTCACAAAAAAAACAAAAATTACAAGCCAAAAAGCATTTCAGGTTTAAATAACCTACAAAGGGTTGATATATCAAAAAATTCAATCGATCACTTCTGAGTGTACAGCTAGTGTAATAGTTGGCAACAGTTAGCTGTGTTTTGTGCCCACACAAATACCCTTGGGAAAATTCTGAATTCATCTATTCTATGCCAAGCTATGGGTTAAATAGCAGGACTGACTGAGGCAGCAAGTATTTTAAGAGAAAGGAAACTCTGAATTCAAAACAAATATGAAGAGACATATGCTCTGTCAAGTCATCTTGCTGGTGACATACTACAGCTGCCATGGCTGCAGTATTTATGGTGCTACTATGACCCCAATGGGTTATGGAACTCATGACATGTTGAATGTCTTTCTCTCTGCGTCTTTGTTTTTTTTTATTTATTTTACTTTTAGGGGTATAAAATTTATTCCATTTATAAGTTGTATATTGTGTTTGGTTAGCTATTTGTAATATTAACCAATAATTTTATTTATTTTACTTTTAGGGGTATAAAATTTATTCCATTTATAAGTTGTATATTGTGTTTGGTTAGCTATTTGTAATATTAACCAATAATTTTTATTTGCGTTTCAGGTTATAATCCCTGTTGCTGAGGATTTTAGTGCATTTCTCTCCCAGATAAATCAAACCTTCAGCCATGGCTGCTATTGTTGAAAATTCTGAAAATGGACAAATGGGTAATAACCTTTCATATTCACAGTCCTCAGGCTCGGACAGCCTTCACTCATCCGAAAGTGCACTGGACACTTCTAATACCTCAACTAAGGCAACTGATTTTAGTCCAAGCCCAAAAGTTAATGGTCTGTCTCATTTGGATGATGGCCCCCAACTGCAGAAAGCAGGTGCTAATATTCAGTGCTCAGGGACTGTTAAAGTAGACATCCCACCTACACTGGTTACTTGTGGTGTTACGAAATCTGAAAAGGATTTCAGTGAGAAGCCAATAGCAGAGATGGATTTTCAACCAGCTCTCAGCCTATCCTTGCCTGTAGCTCATTCTGCTCCATATACAAAAGATGAAGAAAAGGTAAAATTCAAAGTGCCTTTTGACTCTAATTCCAACTGTTTCTCGTCTGTTCAAAATTCTGAAAGCCAGATATCACCGTGTGATGTCAATGATACAAAAGAGTCAGGCTTGGAACAAAAGGATGGAATCAAATTTAAAATCCTAGAATGCAAAACTGCTGAACAATTTCCTTCATCTGAAAACGCAGAGGGTAAAGAAAAGCCGCTGATCTCAGAGAATGAAACATCAAATAAAACTTCTACATTAGAAGATAAAAATTTACAGTCAGATTTTAATGACAACAAACTTTTCAAATCTGTGGAGACCATTTCTGTTGATAGCAACATGGATGACATGTACCGCCAAGACAAGAAGACCATGTCTTCAAAATCAACAACTGCTTACAATGTGACCCTTAAAAACGATTCAGCCGACATGACTGCAGTTGCTGATGAAAAAGTTTCAGAAGAAAGCAATTCCAAGAATTATTCTGAAGCTTCTAATTCCCAAAAGTTTTCTGGGTGCCAGTCTAAGACAAAGACAGCGAAAAGCTCTGGCGTGTCCAATATTTCCAAGTTGCTTGCCTACTGTTCTCCTTGTCAGGTAGTTGTACAAGATTTCTTCAAAGAACTTAATATTGACTTACTTGAACTGTCCCGTAACTTTCCTGTTCGCCATGGTCACAGGAAGCAACTGAAAAACTCCAAGTCTGTTCAAACCCCAATCCATGTTGAGGAGCAGATTAAAAACAATTCATTTGATTCTCACAACCAAACTAAACAGGCAAAGGGCTACACAGAAAATAGCAAAAGAAGAAAAAAGCATCTGCCACTTGTGTCTGAAAGTTTGAATAACCCAGTGGAAGATGACGATGAGGATGAAGAAGACAATCTCCCCTTACTCTCTGTTCGCAATAATCTCACTCAGGGCGGAAATACTGCTGCAGATACAGGAAAATCAAGCGCAGAAGAAAAATTCAAATCTGATGGCAATGAGACGACAACCAAGGGAGAAAACTTTAAACAAACCAAGGGAGGTAATTCTGATGCAGTTACTGAAGTAAGGTCAGTATTTGATCATTTTTTTTTTTTTTTTTTTTTTCGCTCATTTAATTAACAAGTTACCATTTAACTTTTTCAGGTAATTTTATTTAATTTGATATTTCCTCATTTAAAATTAATGGAAAATAATTTTTTAATCAGTTATCTTAATACGGCCCAAAGTCTCGACAATTAGCATACTCTCTAACCACAAAAACTTAATTTTAAGACCTATTTTAATAATATTGTGATTTATTTTGCTTATTAATTTATTTGCCTATCTCTCTCTCTCTGTCTCTCTCTATACATATATATATGTATGTATGTATATATATATATATGTGTGTGTGTGTGTGTTTGACACCACAGAATTTTTATATTGCTTTAAATATACAAAAACACATTATTTAAAGGCTCCTTTTTCGAGCACCATAAGAATACATTGGTACCTTCTTAGATAAACAAAATATCAGTATGAGGCTGACTATGTAGGGTGAACCAATAAACGCCTTGATGTATGGATTGGACAACAGAATCATGCCAATATTAGACAATGTGTTCCAAACAGCAGCACATGCTTGACTCAAACAGTTTTTGAGTCAGTTACTAGGCAGCATTTGATAGATAACCCAAGATGTGCTATCAAGTACATGGATGCAGTATTTACCATTTTATGCAGAGCGGGGTCAGCCAAACACTGGCAGATCATGAAGGCAGTGTATATAATATTACATTGACCATCTCTGTGTAGACAGTGAATTTTGTTCATTCTCTGTTTCTTTTAGGATTGCTGTGAGTAAAAAAAAATTTCCTATTTTATACTCTCTAGGAACCTATAAATTTTAGTTTATTGCCATATTATTTTTTTTGTTGTTTTAATAATAAATTTCAATTTTAGTTGTGGCTCCTCATGTAACCCTCCTGTATATATTTTGGTTTTGCTGTGAAAATTTGTTTCATTTGGTTATCTAGGACAGTACCAACATCTTCTTTTGAAGTGTTGATGAAAAGGAGATCTTTTAAAGAATGTGTCTTTGTATATGTAAGACTATATAGAACAGAGCTTGGTACTTTAATTCAATTTAATTCAAATAATTATATTGAAGTTTTAGGCTCTTGTTTTGAAACATGAGAACTCTTATGTAGCGTTGGAATCATATTTTTAAATAAATAATTACACACACACACACACACACACACACACACACACACACACACAGAGTACAGTTCAAAAGTTTGGTTCCATCTCTGGTCATTTTTTTTTAAATTGGCCCATTGCATGGTTTAAAAAAATGTTTTTTTATTAGAAATTTTATTATGACAAAAAAAAAAAGAAAGCATTTTATGTTTAAATTTTGGTTTCGTCAGAATATCCTCCTTTAGTCTTGATTACAGCAGCAGAAATTTTTGACATTCATTGCAAAAGTTTCTCAAAGTATAAATTTAATAATTTATTCCATTCTTTTTTTAATTACTCTAAGAGCCCTTCATTTTTTCCCACTCTATTGACAAGTTCATCATTCTAATTCTGGGGGTGGCTTCAAACTTCTGAAATATAGTGTGTGTGTGTGTGTATATATATATATATATATATATATATATATATATATATATATATATATATATAAAATAATTTTAATTCCATATTGAAAGTCTTGGGCATGTGCATATAGCATAATTGTTATTGGCTCAAAGTGAATTCAAGTTCAAGTCTGCTATGTTTGCTTTATTCCAATGCTCTTGAGAAAGTTATGGATCCATTTTTTTTCTCCCACCAATGAGTTAGACACCAGGAAGACTCTAGCCTTGTTTGACAGCTAGTTTAGAAAAAAATGAAAACTAATTTCCAAACTATGAAGAAGACTGTGGGAAGCCACTCTAGCAGCTTTGCTAGCAAAAAATGGAGGTTCATTCAACTATGATTATAAAACTACTTAAAGTGAAACTATCAGCTATTCTTATTTTGTATTTCTCGGTGAGTTAATATAGGTATTTTCACAGAATATGACTATGTACATTTTTAGGCTTTTTACCATACCAGGATATTTAATCTCTGCAGTCAAACACGGTAGATGGTTAGGACTCTCAAAGCAGACACAAAATATGGCAACCAAATATAAAAGTTAAAATAGACTGGTCCACTTGTTAAAAAAAATGGGGAAAAAATATTTTGAGGATTAAGTTTTATACATTAGCACTCTTTAGACAATTTTTCAGCCATGACGCTTGTCAGAATTGAAATGCTTTTTTTGTCATCAGTCTTTAGACTTATTGATGTACCTGCATATCATACATTATACAATTTTATTAATTAATCCTTAAAGGGTAAGAAAAGGTTTTATGAACACGCATGTCAAATAGGTTAAAAAAAATGAAGTAAATTCTTTTTTTTTTTTTTTTTTTTTTTTTTTTTTTTTCAAGGATAGTTTGCTCATTTTCACTTTAATTATATACAAAATAAAAAAGAAAAAGATATTTTAACTATTTCAGATTATAAAAATAATTTAAAATAGGGAATAAAAAAACAAATGTTAGATTCAAAAATTTTATATTTTTTTACCAGCATGATGCTCCTTGAAGTATTCCATACAAAATGGAGTTGTACATTCTTTGTAGCAAGTTGTTACCGCTTTTTCTCTACAAGAAATGTGCATGCAGACAAAGCATTGTCTTTGCTTTGTTCTTCCAGATTTATTTGCAGACAAATAATTCAGGCAATTATATAACCTTTAAAATCCTAGTTAATATTAGTCACATGAATCCTAGAGTTGCAAATTAGTCATTTAGAATTGAATCCTGAACAAATGAGGTTTGTATCATTGGAAGCCATTAAAATCATGAATTGATGATATCCACTGATCTTGTACCTTTCTTATTATGATTATTGTAATCTATATTATTGTTATGAATTAATAATGCTTACACATCTAAGCCATGAATGCCTGCTGGAGTAGTGGATAAGCAGCTCCGATTGAGGAATCAGTGAACTGAGTTCAAATTCCTGTCGAATCCATTGCATTCACTTAAATGCTAATACCCCTGGGAAAAGTATGAATCCTCTTCTTGTCCCTCCAGCTATGGGTAAAATAACAGGACAGACTGGGTTCTATAGCCTTGGATGGCAACTGGTCTAGGAGAAGGACAACTCTGAATTCAAAGCCTGTGGAGGGTTGTACCTTGTGGCACGTAGTGCACCAGGTCTCTGTATTTGGCCCTCCAAAAAGTGTGGTTGGTTCTGTACAAAGCCTTCACCACTATAATCAAATCATATGTGCTGGTGTCTGGGTTTTCAGTTCCTAGGAACCAAGCTGCTTGACCCTCATACGTTGAATACGACGGAAGAGTCACCACACATCTAAGCTAATGTTTCCTATCTCTTAATATCCATGAATTTCTATGACTCCATAGGAAAGATATGGAAAAGATATCTTCTCCAGAGTTTTTAATTTTGGAGATATAATTCTCCTAGACTGATTGCAATTCAAGACCTTAATCTACCTTGCTATTTAATTGATACTTGGAGAGAGAAGAGCTGAATTCATATCTTTCCCAAGGGCTATAATGCAAAGTAAGCATAACACACTTTTCCGAATTTGAACTCCACTTGTTGATTTTAATTTTTTAACATTATCTTCATATCCACCCATGAAAGTCAAATCTTAGTATTTAGACATGACCTCAAGGGGGATCAGTCCTTAACTTTTGTCTTGATAACTTTCCCTTATATATTGGCCAGCTCATGAAAGCTGCTTTTTTAACGGTATTCTTTACTCCATGTCGGCGCTTTTACATTTAGATACAAAAAAAAAAAAATGTTTGAAGGCATTTAATATTGAGGAAACTATTGAATTTCGTCAAGACGGATAGATTAATCCTGTTAATTTATTCGGGAAGGAAGAGTTATTCCCCCTTCGTCTTTGCGCGGTCTTTTTATTTGCTAAAAAAGAAAATAATCATTTAGGATTTAATCCATTTCTAAATGATAATATTTTTAATGTTTTACAGCTAAAGTTTTTTTTTTTTTTTTTTTTTTTTGTAATATTTGTTACACAAATTTGAATTCATGAATTTTGTAAAGATATTAAGAGATTACTTTCGTGAATTTTTATCTAAGCTGTAACAAGGTCCAGTTTGTATCTGTTTAGTGTCTTTGTGATAGTGAGGCTTCATTTTGTACTTTGAAGGAATTTATCAGTGGCTTTTTTTCTTTTCTTTTTTAAATCTATAATTAGAATAATTGTTTTTTATATGTAAATGGAAGATGAATATCTTAATTAGATATTCTAAATAAATAAAAAAACTTCATATATTTTGATAAAAGTGTAAAAACAACATAAAGAAACCAACAGGAATGTACTCTAGAATATTTTCCAAGAAGTCTTTGCAATTCCTAGCTAACAAAGAATGGGAATTTATATGGTAACCCATAATTGTCTATGTCCTGAAGGGATATGACTTTTTAAAAAAAATTTAATGAAAATAGCTTTTAAGGATATGGACTTGAAATGATGGGTAAATTTTTACAATTAGGAAAAGATAAGATTTCTTTCTTTCTTTCTTTCTTTTTTTCAGTTGGCAACATCAGCTTAAATATGACATTATTATTATATTTTATATATTTTTTTTGTCTAACTCTGTGTTTGATAATCTTAAGATAGCACATTTATCAAAATCATTAATTTAATCTACATCAATACAATTAGGCTGCACATAGAGGTGATGTATGATTAGCTAGCTTGTCTTGGCAGATCAATTACAACTGAGTAGTTAGTTCAATCCTCATTGATTGCTCTCTGCTTTCAGCCTTGTGCCACATCTAAGCTACACTTAGTAAATCACAATACTATTAGGTTGATGCAAAAGTTCCCAGCCCTGTTTGCAAAACATTACAAAAATCCTGTCTTTTGAATTAACTCAGATTTTTATTATGGTTACGTCCATTACAAGAATGAGAAAACATTAAGATGATAGGAAAATAATTTCACATGAAAATATGAAATTGATGAATATTGATCAACTCTTAA